GGAGTGTGATGTTGAGGTGTAATTTTTTTTGGGGGGGGGGAGTTTTGTCAACTGCAATATTAAGTGCCATGTGGTGATGAGGTGGCATTTTTAGTTACCACGTGTTCTTAACAGTCAAAGTAAACGATAAAAAAAGGGTTTTGGGTAAAATTACTACAAAATTATACTTGTAGGACATATTTGAGCTGAAGGAAATAATATAGACAGAGAAAGGACACGTATCAGGTCAGTGCAGTATCCTGACTACTAGAGGCCTGATAGAATGGCACAACAGATACACCAAAGAGAGGAGAAGAGAACACCGGAAAGCTCAACGGTTTGGGTGAAGAGAATGGGTGGAGGTACTTCCTATTTATAGGGCCAGTGTGGTCCTTGTTTCAGGAAGGCACAATCTCCTTTATTTATTGTAGGATAATATTTTGATTCTACAATCGATAATTAATATCTGATTATTTCTCTCCAATCAATCAAGTACTTAATGCTTGATTGAATATTTCCTAATCAATCATTTATTGTTTCTGATTTGTAATTAATTTTCTTGATCTCAGAGATTCTCTTCTTTTGGATCAAGTAGTTTGACTCATCAAGGGCGGACTCAGGCCCAATATCTAACATGAGCAAAAAAAAAAAAACCTTTATGAGGGAGTGAACACTTCCAAAGCAGGAGGTGTTTGGCAACTTCCAAACCATGGTTTCAGAAGCACTTTTCCGCAAAACGAGACAAATTCCTTCACATATTTACTTCGTAAACCGTAAAAGCACGTTTGAAACCATGGTTTGGTTTTTATCCAAACACCCCCTTAGTATCTTATTTCTAATTTAATTGGTACCTCAGCCACACCCATTTTACTTTCGTCACAAAGTTTTTTTTTTTTAAATGGCCAATTCAGTTACAAAGTCTTTACAGTTAAATATTTTTTTGACAACTTCATACAACTCAAAAAATTCAAAATTATTGTTAAGACTAAAGTGTATACTTTAGTCATTTAATTTTATATAAAGTTTTAATTTGATCTCTTAACTTTAAAAAGCATATTTTCAATCCTTTAACTCTGAGGGTTTGTTTGGTTGGAGGGGAGGGGAGGGGAGGGAAAATGAGCCCCTCCTCTCATTTAGTTAAAATTTTGGAGGGGAGCCAAATTTTTGGACCATTATACTCTTATAGACTTTTTAATATTCCACTTCTACCCATAAAATATATTATTATAATTTTATTTCAAATAAAATATATTATCCTAAGTAAAAATATAAAAAAAATACATTATTATAATTAAAAATATATTATAAAAATTATTTAAAAATAAAAAATTATAATATTATAAAATAATTGTTTTTTATAAATATATTATTTATCAAATATATTTTAAAGCTGGAAAAAAAGATAGCCTAAAGAGAACAAAATTTCATTTTTCTTAGAGCATATAAAATTTGTTAATTTGATTATTTTAAATATATTATTATATTAATTAGAATAAAAAATTACTGTACCAATTTTTTAATACACATATTAACATGATAAGACTGAATTTTTATTAAATTATATAATTTAAATTAAGATGTAAATTAATTTATATAATATATCAATAAAAAGCATAAACTAATATGTAAGGGTAAAATGGTAAATTGATTATTACTATCCCTCCCCTCCCCTCCCCTCCCCTCACCAAACAAGGGATAATTAAATATCCTCTCCTCCCTTCCTTTTTAATCAAACCAAACAAGGTGAGGATAAAACCTCTTCTTCCCTTTCCTACCCCACCCTCCCCTCCCTCTCCTACCCTCCCCTCAAACCAAACAGGCCCTGAATGTGCTAGTCTTAAGTGATGATTTTTTGTACTAATTATTGTTTTTTTAATTGAACTTGATATATTAGCATTTGAGAATGTTTTATTAGTATTTAAGATTTCAATATCATCATTTTTTGTTAACAATCTTAGGGACTAATATCATACTTTTTAAAGTTAATGGAGCAAATTAAAATTTTATATAAAGTTAAAGGAATAAAAATATATATTAGCACGTTGTTAATGAAATTCATTAAACTGCGTAAATAGTTGTCTTAGGGATTAACCCAAAAAAAAACAATATTTAATAAAAAATAATCGATACTTTGGACATTTTGTGGAGTAGCATTATTGGATGAATCTTTGTAAATATAATTTCATTTCTATAGATTTTTCAACAACTAATTTTTTTTATTCTTGAAAACACAAACTTCAGCCGCAAAAATAAAGTCACAAATTTTCTTCCTTCTCTAAAATAATCAATTCATTAATAGTACAAGAAATTAGATCAATTTAAGATTTTTTTATACTAAAATAAATTCTTTTTGGGCAGATATATAAGTGTAACTGTGTAAGATGCTAATTGCTACTAAGATCAAAAGAGGATATTTTCAATTAAAATATTTAATTGAATTTCGCCCAATTTTTTGTGCTAAATTATCTCATATAGGGGACAAGGAAGAAACCTCCAAATTAATGCCCTGTTTATTTCTGTTTTCTGTTTTTATATTTTTAAACTAGTTTTATAAAATTATTTTTTAAAATAAGTTTTAGAAAAAATATATATTTTGGATAATTGTTCTAAAAATTGCATTTGAAAACAAAAAAACCATAAAAATTTGTTTGAAATAATTGTTCTTAAAATCAACTTGGGTAACGAACAAAAGGTGAGAGACAGAACGGAGAGTGCAGCGATGACGGATGGAGTCAAAAGACTGGGAAACAACACAGACAAACACGAGAAAAAGTAACAAAGTAGGAAGCACAAAAAGGAGAATAAGTAGAAATAACAAGACAGAACCCAAAAAAAAAATACTCCTCCTATCTTTAATATAAGACCTATTTAACTAATTTGATTAGATTAAGGAAGTTAGGTAAGTTAGTTAATTATAAGAAAAGTGACACATTTTTCTTAAGACACCATAATCATCTTTCTTAATACCCCTCTCCTTCTTCTACTTGATTATGGTTGAGGGAGTATCTATAGGGGTAATTTAGAGAAAATTAATAAATATAAGAAATGGGTCTTATATTTAGAATCAAAACCAACTCAAGAATTGGGTTCTATATTAAGGACCGGAGGAGTATAAAACATATAAAAGTTGTTTTAAGTTTTTTGGTTTTAAAAAAGATTTCTTTTTTCTTTTGGAAAATTTAATTTAAAAGTCGTTACAGTTTGGTTGGATTTTGAATCAGGCACCTGGACTTTCTTTTCCCTTTATATTAGTTCCTTTTAGCTTTCTACGATTATATTCCTCAGTCCTTACCGTTAGATATGATTAACACCGTTAAAAATTTCCACTAGTCAGCATGTTTGACGAAGCTCTGCTCTTTCCTTCAACGTCATTTCCTTCCCCATCTTTAGACCGACCTCCTTCCTACCATTCCATAAATACCTTCCCTTCCTCGGTTGCAAAGTCAAGGACGTAATAAAATTTAGGGACCTAATTGATAAAAATCTAATCAAATTATAAGGTCCTTTAAATTAATTTTCTCTTTTTTGTTTCACAAAATACTTAATTAAAAATTTAACAACTAAATAAGTTTTTTTTTGTCATTAAAAACAAAGAATTGTTTCGAACATAAGAAAACAAACAGGCCTTAAGATTCCATCATTTACATGAATGCGAGAAAGTTGGCGTGTGATTAAATTCCTATCTAGTTGACTTAGTCAATGCCCCAATTTTCACTCTAGCAAACATGGTTAATGGTCCAATCCATCTTTGCTTTATGTGCTTTAAATGTGCGTATTGGTGGGTGTTTCTGAAATGGTTGCTTAGTCATACGGCAGCCACGCAAAATTATCGGAAGAAATATCAGCAGCATGTGTGTGTATATATATATATGCTTCTCTTCTCCTATTTATATTTACAATGCAATTCTAACATGTATTTCACAAAAAGAGAGAAAAATCTTAATTAAATTTCAATAATTTTATCTTCAAATTTGATAATTTTTCAAATTTTTTCTATTTAATTTTATATCGATTACTTATTTTCACAAATAGTAAATGAATGATAAATTGTATATTTTTTTAAAAATTTAATAATGTGAATTATAAATATGACTCCAAAAACATTATTTCTCTACCTCATAAAAGGATCAAATGAATATATAATAAATTTCATCAAAGACTGGCTCCGATAAACATTATTCCTTGGAGTCCCTAATATACAGGAGCTAGTTGGAATGTTAAATTTGGTTTTAAATATAACATCTGAATAACCTTTATTTCTTATATTTATATAATTTCTTTCAAAGTAATTTACCTAATTTTATGTCTCATATTTATATATAACTTTAAAAAGATTATGTATCGCATTTGTCATAATTAATTAATTAATTAATTTTATTTTTTTAATCTACTTAAATAACTTAAGTAGCTGTTCTAATTAAGATTAGATGGAGTAGTGAATGCAATTTGCTGAGGAGTGAAATTTTGATTAACTCTTACTACATCCGATCCTTAATATAAAAGCTAGTTGATTAATTTGATTAGATTAAGAAAATTTGTTAAGTTAGTTATTGTAATAAATAAGTAATTTTTTTAAAAATATCGCTGCTAATTATATGCATTAGTTAGAACTATCATTAGATAAAATGTTTAATAAGTGCACTACCATAAGAACTACTTTTAAAAAAATAGATAAATATAAACAAACAATTGATTAAAATTTTATATTTAAAATTAAATTAAAAATCAAACTAATTTTTATATTGAAAACAAAGATAGTATACTTTATGAAATTTCAATGAATTGTCTATTTCAAAACATTGACGCCACTTGGAGCCCATGGGAAGGCTTGGCCTAAAAAGGACAATAGGAAAAGTTATCCCGAAAAGTTAAACCGACTTGTTAAAGAAAAGTACCGGTGAGCCCCACATATTAAATGGGACCCTCCGCATAAAGGAAATTCGTGGTCAAGAAACTTATATCCGTACAAAGGAAAATTCGATCAACTGCGTTCTATATGTTCAACTCGCCTTCTCTTCCGCCATAGCCAAAAAGCAAATTTTCTTGGATATCTATGCAGGCGCATCTCATGGATCCTGTCAAAAAGAATCCTGGGAATTTCGCCGTCGTACTGCTGTTCTTGATGGGAGTTCTTTTTCTGTTCCGGCCTCCTTCTTTCTCTAGTCCGGTTCTGATCCAGAAACCACCATCAGAAAAAGTAAGTTCAACATCACATATGCTTCAGAATGAATCAAAAGATCCAGTCTTTCTTTAATCTAATTGTTTTTTTCCCTGACGTTACTGTAACAGTTGCTTGAATCTGCTTTGGCTAAAGCGTCCATGGAAGACAAGACTGTGATAGTGACGTTCATGAACAAGGCTTATGCAGAAGCAGAAGTTAATGGAGACACCTCTATGTTTGACCTATTCCTGACCAGTTTCTGGCTAGGAGAAGGAACGAGGTCTCTTGTTGACCACCTTCTGGTTGTTGCCGCCGACCAGACGGCGTATGATCGGTGCCGGTTTCGCCGGCTGAACTGCTTCAGATTGGAAACGGAGGGTTTTGATTTTGAAGGGGAGAAATTGTTCATGTCTGCTGATTTTATTAACATGATGTGGAGAAGGACTCTCTTTCTCTTGCGAGTTCTCAAACAAGGATACAGCTTCATCTTCACGGCACGAGTTTCCTTTCTTCTCTTCTCATTTCTTTTTTTAGTTTCTCTGGATATTTTTCCGTAGGCTACATTTATCGTCAGTAATTTAGTATAAACAAATTAATCAAGTCCACGTCTACTTGATGTATAAATCAGTTTTTGCTGAAATAATATATACTATACCTCTAATATAATGTTTTTTTTTTTTTCACAGAACAATCCATTTCTGATATCTCTATGCAAATTAATTAACTGGTACAATGTTTGATCTGAATATTCAATGAAACAGGATGCTGATGTGATGTGGCTGAGAAATCCGTTCACAAGACTTAGCACCGACAGTAATGAGGACTTACAGATCAGTACTGACAGGTACCTAGGAGATCCATGGTCGGAAAAGCATGATATCAACACAGGATTCTACTTCGTTCGATCCAACAAGAAGACCATTTCATTGTTCGAAGCATGGTACAGCAAGAAGGACAATTCCAAAGGTCAAAAGGAACAAGACGTGCTTCAGGATCTCATAAGACATGGCATAACTAGACAGTTGGGAGTTCGAGTTAGGTTCATAGATAGTCTTTACTTTAGTGGGTTTTGTCAGGATAGCAAGGACTTTAAAGCAGTCACCACCGTTCACGCCAACTGTTGCCGGAGCATCACCGCCAAGATCGCCGACCTTAAGGCCGTCCTCGGAGATTGGAAACGGTTCAAAATGTTGGAGGCAAGTAAGAGCAATTTGACCAACACTGTTGAGTGGTCGGCTCACCATAAATGCAGCAAGTCCTGGAATTAACAAGTGATATATATGTATATATAGTTCTGTTGAATCTGCTTGTAGTTTAGAGGAACATGGTGAAACAGATGTTTGGGAATCAGGAGAAATCCATAGAAATGTTTTAGAACTGTTCGATAAAATTTAATCCAATTTAATCTGGGAAATCGTATATATTCTGATGAAAACTTTTACTTTGCAAGACTCCCATCCCCAATATTAGGTCATATGGTATTCAAGGCACTATATATAGATCGGCACATATCCCAGCAGGATTCGAAACTTAGGCCATAAGTTATTGAAATTTGAATTTTCTTCATTGTCTTTTTTTTTTCCCCCTTTTTTCCAATAACCCAAGTTTTGTTATTTTATTACGTACTGGACGTCTTTCCGCTTCCAATGAGTTTTCATGTGAACTCGGGCCAGAATCAGTTAGGCCCAACTATTTTTAAGCCCAGTTAGCATAGCCTTATAGGGAGTAAATGCCTTTATGCTGATTACAGAGACTGTTGTTCCTATATTTTTCTTTTTGTTTTAGAGTATCCTTCTGCTGGAGACAATTTATATCAGGAAAAAAATAATAGGACGGAAGACGCATCCTTGGCTGAACAAATTAATATCCTTATGAGCCAAGAGAAAACCCACAAAGATAAGAAATACCAACGCTAAGATCAAAGATGATCGGAGAATTAAAGAAGAAAGCCAATGTGATGCACCGTCTCACAGAGAGAGAGAGAGAGAGAGAGAGAGAACTTCTCTCCCCCAAGCGAAGATCCAATAAATAAATCAACAAAGCAATCTACTCAAACTAACAAAAGAAACGTTAAAAGAATACAAAACCCTAATTATTTTTATTCGAGAGAGACAGGATTAACTTAATAATTACTCGAAGGAAACCTCTCCACAATATTCCCAGCTCTTCTTCTGTTACATACTCTCTTCCTTCTTCGTCGTGTGTATCATACATCTCCTCCTCCTCCTCCTCCTCTCCTCCTTCTCTTGCTTTCTGAGAGCTGAAGCTTAAAATGTAAAGCAGACCAGCATCAACAAGTATAAGAAACTAAGTAATAGCACTTAGTTAAGTGGTCGTTGTTGCTATAACTAGCCCACACTAAAATTCCCAAAGTTGCCCCTGCTATAATAAGCATGCCCCACTTGCCTATAATTCGAACCATTTTCTTATCTTCTAGGGTTTCTGGCCTGTCACTTTCTTCTTCATCAAGCAGAGTTCTCTCCAAAACCCTCATATTTGAACCACCCCACGTGAGGAAGATCTCCCCAATTAGATGTCGCCTATAAGCAACAAACAACCTAGAACCATGAGAAGAGTATTGCACTAGCTTAGAAGATTCAGTATAGGGTTAGTTTTTTTTTTTTTTTTGTTTGTTGACCAGCAAGTATAGGGTTAGTTAATGCATTGGAAAAAGAACACATATATTTATACATCTCTATATTTGGTAATAAGACTAATATCCATCATAGAAATTATTGTAGCTATTAGTTTGTACTTTAAAATCAGTTATAAGACCCTCAACCAAACAGCCATTAAAACAAGCACCATGAGAGAGAAAAAATTAAATCATAAACTTCTGTTAAATTAAAGGACCGATTACAAAAAAACAATCACATCCATATGTATAATTAATTATGTCCTATGAATAAATTAACCAAATCGGTGTGGCATAGAGACCCGGAGAACCCTTTGCCAAGAGATCATAGTCATAGATCAATACCTACTTCAATTAAAACCATGGAATTAGATGCTTAACTGTTATAAATTTAAATCCCTCACTAAACATTGAGACTTCAAATTTCTCGTATCGTCATTAAAACAAAACTGAAAAAACTGCCATATACATAAATACGTACCTGCGGGCGCTGGCTAATGATCTATTTCTGGCTTCCTGTGCTGCGTATTTTCATGAGTATGGTATTTTACGCGATTAAATAAAGTTCCTCAGGGAGGGAGAGAGTAAATCAATTTGATTATACTTGACAATATCCCATGGGATTTGCTCCTTATCTCCAAGTAAAATAATATTTGAAATTGAGAATAATATCTTAATTTAAATTTAAACAATTAATTTAAATATATATAAAAATAAATAATAATGCCAAAACTTTATTTGGGCAAGCAACATAGAATTCGTTTTCAATGTCTTTGCTTTGAAATTTGATAAAAATTCATGGTCAATTTTAAGCCAATAAAAAATAGCTCCTTTTCTGACCAAAAATTATCCAGCATCCTTATCACATGAGTTATAGTGTATGAGTCATGAGGAGCATTTTTTTTTCCTTTTTCTTTTTTTTTTAATAACTAGCATTTAAAAATATCTTTTTTTATTGGTAATTGAAGAATAATATAACTATTATATTATTGTTATTATTTCATTATCTTATACTATTATATTATTGCCATTGTTTCATCATATCTGTACAGTTTAGATTAGGATCTTATTTAGACAGTCAAGTTATATAATATATGTTGGTTATCTAGAGTTATATCAAGTCGAAGATATGATAAATATCGTATCGTATATCTCATAAGTGATGTATATATACATACATAACCGCACAGAATAAAGATGATGGTGTTTTTCCTTCTCCAAATTTATCAGTACTCCCTCTGATAACAATTAAACAACTCTGTGAAATGTTGTAATAATTACTATTCCTAAAGTGTGGTAAATGATTTAGGAAAATTTTTCAAAAATACTTCTAAAATTTCAAAATCCTAAGTCAGGAATGACAACAAAAATACTCCCAAAAAGAGTATGTTGTTATTTGCTTTCTAAATATTGTTAATTGTTATTAAAGTGTAGTAAATAATATTGATTTAGAATTTTGAAAGTCAAAGATATTTTTTTGAGATTCCCCCAATAATTTAAAACCTGACCCTCTTATTTGTATTTTTCCAAGTGTTGAAATAATTAAAAAAAAAAAACAGTGTTGTAAGTTATGGTGATCAAATGGTGAATACAAATGGTAGTATACTAAATGATTTAAAACATGACCTTCTCACTTGTATTTTTCCAAAGTGTTAAAATTATAAAAAAAAATTGTTATAAGGGGTTTTGATGAAACTTTATAAAAATGTTATAAATCCGTCTAGTAGTATAGTAAATGATTTGTAATATACTTTGATAGTTATCTTATACTACATCTAGTCCTTAATATAAAATTTAATTTGCACTTCGAATATTATATTAAGACTCAGAGTTAGTATATTATTTTGCATCATATTTAAAAAGAGATTTGGTAACTCTATGGTTACTGAGCTTTTTAGGATCTAAATTAAAGGGTGCTGGGATCAAATCCCAAATTGGCCCCAAAAAACACATCCGGCGGCAGGATTGTCGGTGATGGTGGTTTTATTCGTTGTTCTTTTTAAATAAGGTGTAACATCATAAAATAATTAACATTTCAAAATTTAATTTTGGTAATGAGTATTAAATTGAAATTTTTGAAATTGAGATCACCTTTTTGAGTTTTGGAAATTCATAAGGTATTTTAGTGGAATTTTACCTCAAAAAATTTATTTAAATTAGTTATTTATAACAAATATATATTGGTTTCCTTAAAATATAACATTTAATTAGTATCCAATTGATGGAAACTCTCTTTTATTATATATGCAATAATAGGGATAGTTTGTAAAAAAAATTATAAATTTAGAAGACAAAATTGATTGATATCTTATATTTAAAATCAAAATAAAGACCCCAACTAGTTCTTAGATTGAGTATTTATATATTCTTTATGCCTATTGTTTTTTAATTGCGACTTTTTTTTTTAATTTTCTCAATTATGTTGCTTAGAATTTGACACAGAATTTTGTACAAGTTTTCATATGATTTTTGCGAGTTGAATTTAAAAATTTATAAACTTATCATCTGTGCATTAATTCACACAAGTTCTTTAATTAGAGAACCTATTAGTAATTTATTTTCCATGCCTGGGGTTTATATAAGTTTTCCCTATAATTTAATGGGATAATTAATTTTCCGGTCCTTATAGTTTCATCTGATTTTTAATTAGATCTTATAAAAATTTTTCTTTTTATTAGGTCCTTTTACTTTCACGTGTTTTTATTTAGGTCCTATAGTTCATCTGATTTTTAATTAGATCTTTATAAAATTTTTTCTTTTATTAGGTCTTTTTACTTTCACGTGTTTTTATTTAGGTCCCTCAATTTTTTTTCTTTTTATCAGATCCTTATAATTTCACTTATTTTTAATTAGGTCCTTTGTTGTTTTTAAAAAATTATTTATTAACTTTATTCTTTAAAATTAATTTCATTTTAAACTAATATTATATAATTGGACAAAATAATTAAAAGGGATAATTAATAGGCAAGTTCTCATAGTCTTAATTGGTTTTTAATCACGCCCCTATAATTTTTTTTCTTTTTATCAGGTCCTTATATTTTCACATGTTTTTAATCAGGTCCTTATAATTTGTTTTTCTTTTTATCAAATTCTTATTGTTTTACTTTATTTTTAATTAGGTCCTTGTAGTTTTTATTCTTTATTCTATAAATAATAATATTCTAAAAATAATAAATTATCATAAAAATCTTATGTTAATATTCTTTTCAATTTTTAGTTAAACAAATATATTATTTATTTTTAAATTCTGATTTTTATAATTATCAAATTCAAATTATAATAATAAAATTTCCTAAAATTAGAATATAATTATAAACAATTTATAGTTAAGTATAATTAATTATTCTGATTAATTATTAATTACTAAATGATTATATTAACTATTTTGTCCAATTATATAATATTAGTTTAAAATGAAATTAATTTAAATAATAAAGTTAATAAATAATTTTTTAAAAATGACAAAGGACATAATTAAAAAATAAGTGAAAATATAAGGACCTAATAAAAAGGAAAAAAAATGGAGGGACCTAAGTAAAAACATGTAAAATTAAAAGGACCTGATAAAAAGAAAAAAATTATGAAGGGCCTAATTAAAAATTAGATGAAACTATAAGGACCCGGAGATTAATTATCCCTAATTAATATAATCATTTAGTAATTAATAATTAATTATACTTAACTATAAATTATTGATAATTATATTCTAATTTTAGAAAATTTTATTATTATAATTTGAATTTTATAATTATAAAAATCAGAATTGAAAAATAAATAATATATTTGTT